AACTTCGCAATCAAATACAAAATATTTTTATAATAAAAACCAAAAAAAAAAAAAAAAAACCAGAAAAAAATAAAAAACCAAAAAAATTTATTCAATTAAATAAATATGAGTAATAACGCCCAAAACTACGATGCAGTATTAAAATTTTTAGTAATCGGAGATTCTGGTGTAGGAAAAACATGTGTACTATTAAAATATTGCGATGACACTTTTACAAATGTTCATTTGACTACAATAGGAATCGATTATAAATTAAAACAAGAAATAATAGATGGAAAAAAAGTAAAGCTATAAATATGGGATACTGCTGGTTAAGAAAGATTTAAAACAATAACATAAAGTTATTATAAAGGAGCAACTGGTATAATATTAGCATATAGTGTCATTGACCCTAATAGTTTCAAAAATATTACTGATTGGATGAAATAAATAAATATGCACGCAGATGCTAATGTAAAAAAAATTATTATTGCAAATAAATGTGATATGAAAGATGAAAGAAAAGTCTCCACTAAAGAAGGAGAAGATCTTGCGGAAAAATATAATGTTAATTATTTCGAAACATCGGCTAAAGATGGACTGAATATAAGAGAAGCTTTCAGATGTATTGCGAAATAAGCCTTTGATACTATTGATTTTTCATCTTTGAAATAATAAGGCGTTATTAGTGTAAATGGAGGAAATAAAAATTAATAAAAAAAAGAAGGATGTTGTTGATTTTTTTTTTTTTATTATTATTACCAGAAAAACTAAAGAAAATAATATTAAATATATATTATTAAATATATAAAAAAAAACAAATATTATACCTTATTTTTATATTTAATTTTTTTTTTTATTTTATAATTTTTATATTTTTTACTGATAAAATTAATTATGGTTTATTTTTTTATAAAAATAAATAATTTTTTTAATTAATATAAAATATCTACATATATCAACATATATATATAGAAATATGAATATAGATATATATACAAATAAATATAAATATAAATATAAATATAAATATATATATACTTATAGTTATATTTAATACATTTATTTATATATATAAAAAAAAATCATTTGAATTTTACACTAACACATAAACAATTAATTACACTTTATAATCTATTATTTAATCTATTTTATTCTTCTTCTGTTAATTCGATATTTTTTTAATTTAACTAGGAATTTCAAAATTTTCATTTAAAATATTCATATTTCTAAGAATAGTTTTTAATTAAGCAATTACCTTAGATTATTTTTTTAATTCAATTTTATATTTTTTTGCTATAGATTCGTACTAAGATATTAAATTGCTTGAATCTTAAAAAATAGGTTTAAAGTTCTATTATAATTTTTAAAGTTTTTCTGAATATTCAATAACTGCTTCTAATAATTTATTTTTAATTTCTCCTTCTTATTATTCTTAGATAACTTCATATGTTACACTTATTAAATAAGGAATTTACTTTATACTCATTTATATATCGGAAAATTAAGCATCATAAAAGAATTATTTACGATCAACATTTAATTTTTATATTATATTTTTTAAGGACTTTATATGTATTTACGATTAATTTTCGATATTTTTTATTTATATTAAATCTTCATTTTTTATATTTTATCTATTTGAATGACACAATCCCATTTTTTATTATTTTTTATTTATTTTTAATTTTTTATTTATAATTTTAAAAATGCAATAATATATTTATTTATTTTATTCGGTGGTTTAAATTAATTTTATATTTAATTTAAAATAATTTTATTTATTTTATTTATTTTAAAAGTTTAAATATTTTCATTATTTTGCAATTATAATTTTACAAAAAACTAAACTGTTTTAAATAATTTTAAGTGAAAAAATATATAATTATTAAAAAAAAAAAAAAGTAAATATATATTTTAGAAATTTAAAAAATTAAACAAACATAAAGTATAATTTATATAAATATATAATGATGTAATTTAAATTTTAATTTCATTATAATAAATAATTAAAATAAAAAGTATAAAAATACTAACATAATAAGATAAATCTTAATTTCAAATTTATTAATTATATATATACTAAAATTTAAATATTTAAAATAAATAAAAGAAAAACCATAAATAAATTAAATAATATTGTAATAATAAAAAAAAGAAAATGTTTTTAAACATCAAAATAAATAAAATAATAAAAAAATATAATAAAAGGCTATAAAAAAATAAAATAGCAATAAACTACTAAGCTCTTAATTTGAATATTACTCTATAATTGAAATAAAATAAATAATATTGATTAAACTATTGTAAAGAAAAAAAAATATTGATTAGAAAAATATAATGCTTTAAAAATTTCATTGAAAATATAATATAAAGATCATATTTAAATTTTAATAGACAACTCATAACTAAAAAAATTTACAAAATAATAAAAAATATGTATGAAAAAAAAAAATAAACAAAATATAAAATCGAAGAATAATATTCAAAATAGATAAAATTCAAAAAAAATAATAATAAATATTTATATACAATAAAAAAATATAATAAAATAAATTTATAAAAAATAACAAAAAAGAAATATAATTATTATAAAATATATATATAATATAAATTTTATAAATAAATATATATATAAATAAAAAAAAAAAAAATAAAGATATATATATATTATATATATATATATATATATATATTATATATATATATATATATATATATATCGTGTTTCTTCTATATTTATTTTCATATTTATCAAATTATTTTGTATTAATATTATTATTCTAATTATATTTTTATTAATTTTTAAATTTTTTAATTATTAACTTAAATTTTTAATTCTTAATAATTATTTGATTTTTTTTTTTTTATGATTATTTAAAATTTCTATTTTCTATTTTTTTTAATTTTAGTTTATTTATAATTTCTTATGTATTATATTATGAGTATAAATATAAAAAATTTGATTAAAATTAAAATTTATAAAAGCTTTTTATTTCAGAAAACTTTATTTTTACAATAAAATAATATTATAGCATATTTCATATTATTTCTTTAGACATTAAATATTTAAAATATTTTTAATTATTTAATAAATGATTTTTTATTTCTTTTTAAGTATTTTATTATGAAAGTTATAAATTTTATTTGATATTTATTTGAATCATGCATTTATAAAATAAATATAAATTAATTTTATTAATATTAAAAGAAAAAATACTTTTAAACGTTTTTTGATTTTAATATAATATTTTAATAAATATAATTTGAAATTTCAAACGAACATATTGATTTGATAAATGCTATTTTATTTTATATATATGATTTTATTTATTGTTTATTTTTCTTTTCTTTTTTTCATATATTTTTCTATTTATTTTTTTAGTTTTCTATTCTTTTTTTTTATTAGCTTTTTTTTCGAAAATGGTTAGTTTTTATTTACAAAATCTAAAAACCTTTAATTAAAAATATAAATATATTATTATTTTATAAATATAGGATATAATTTACTTAGCATCCATTTCAATTGTATTTTCTTTTAGAACATCATCAATTCTTTTCAATTAAAAAATTTAATGATCTTTTTTAAGACAATAAAGTAACTCTAAAAGCCATTAAATAGGGGGAAAATTTTCCGTATTTATGCAAAGATCTTATGGCGTAGTTAATTTAATTATTTTTTCGTATACTTTAGGAGCATTAACTATTTAATTTATATTTATTTTAATCTAAAGCTATGCTTTTTAAGGTGCAAGTACTTTTCCTGAAGCTATGTTAATTAAGTCAGAAATCGTAAAGTTTCTTCGAGAATCTTTTAAAGAAGGTAATACGAATCCATAATCAACTACATTCCAGTATGTATTTTCATAATTTTTTAAACTAGAATTAACAATACTTTAGCTTACAATATCAAATATTTTATTTTTATTTTAAATTAATATATTTATTTATTTTTAAAAAATTATACATATATTTAAATATTATTGTTGTTATAAATATAATCAAAGAAATTTAAAAAAACTATTAATTATTTTAAAATCGTTTTAAAGGAATTTAATTTTTTTATAAACAGCCAACAGTTTCATTTTTTATTTTAGAATTCTATTAAAATAATCAAAAATATAAAAATAATTATAACATATATATATATACTAGTTATTTTACAAAATATATTAATTTATTATCAAAAAATTATTTTTTTACTTTGCGTATTTTTCCTTTTAAATTGCATTAATTTATTTTTGAAATAAAAAAATTATTTTTTGAAACCAAAAATTATTTTTTTCAATTTAATTTTTATTTTATTTATAATATATAATGATCAATTACAATAATTATAAATCATCTGATTATCCTATTTACAAATAAATTATTTGTAAAGGAAGGCAAGTTTAATGTATTTTTTATAGAGATTCAACATATGTGTTTTATGACTAATATGTTTCCTAATTAATAGATACTAATAAATAATATTCAAGTAATGATCTAATATTATTAAAAGGTGGTGTTTCTTTAATAAACCATTTTTGGTTTTATAAAATTGAAATATATCCTGATAATTTTGAAAAAACATTTGAATGCTTACAAGAACTGATAAAAAAACATTCATTAAACAAATAAATAAAAAAATATATAAAAATGGGTCATAAAATAATCTGAAAAAGAAAAAAAAATAATAAATGCAATTTATTTAATAAAATAATGATATTAAGCTAATTATATCAAAGGAATTTTAAATATAAAATAAGGACAATACAATTTAGCTTTAAGAAAAATAAGATGTTTCTAAAATTATGTAAAAATATATAAAGGAAGGCCTCGTAAGTTGAATTAAAATTAACTTTAATGGTTAAAAATACATATGAATGATATAGAAAATAAATTTAAAACAGCTAAATAAATTCATAATGATTTTTTAAATTACTTTAACTTAAATAATAATGAAATAAAATATAAAAGTTTTTATAAATATTTAAAATAATATTTAAATTTATCTTGTATATAACCAACATAGCTTAAAAGAAATTGCAATAATGAAGAAAAGGTAACGTAACATCTTGTAATTTAAATATATAACAGAAAAAGACATGAAATAGAAAAGGAGAAAGGTTGATTGTTTATAGATAAAATAAGTCTGTAAATTATAGTATAATGGGATGTATGACAATTTTTGGTACATTACCATATATGGTAATCAAAGGTGGAAGTAAATGGGAACATTAAGTAAAACATATATGTGAGATATTATATTTTATCGAACAGAATTGGTAAAATAAATAAATAGTTTTAATTTTAAACTATTCAACGTAACATAAATCAATAAATTTATAAAAATATTATTATAAAAAATAAACTTTGAATATATGCCTGTATCTTCACCATAACTTATGCCTTAAGAATTAATTTGGGGAAAATTTAAAACAATAATAAAATGATTATATATTTTTGATGAGAAATAATTACTAAAAGATATATTTAATGCATATAAATAAATTACAGTTAATGATTGATAGAATTATTTTTTTCATACATTAAAATATTATGAATAATCACTTAAAAAAGAAATTATATATTGAATAATAATATATAAAATTATAATATTAAATAAAAAAAAAATCACAATATATTAAAATAATGAGAGTAAATACATTTAAAAAAAATTATGAAATTTTAAAAAATAAAAATAAAAATAAAAATAATATGTTTAAAAATTATAATAAATAATAACAATCAAAACAAAATAATACCAAAAAAAAAAATATG